AGGATATTATTTATTATTAAGGATGCTATACAAATACAATAGAAAATATTCGATGTTAAAATTGAATTTTAGTAAAGATAAAAAATTTCACTGTAGAAGTTGAAGTTGTTCTGTTTCCAATTTCTGTTTGCTTAAACAATTTTTTTTTATGTTTGCTTATGAAGCAGATATAGAATAAGAGAGAAGGAAAATAATATTTTCTCTTTTGATAACCAACATGTTCACATAATTTTTTTTACTAATTTGTATTCTGCGCAGAGTTAAGCAAAATAACCGCCGCGAATAGCACAAATTTCTATTTTACTGCCTAAATTCTTATTTTGACGGGTTTTTTTCATTATCTGTTTCCTTGTGTGTGTGTGACATTATATGCAAAATAGTGTTCCGATCAATTGTAATCGTCTCCAATACCGAATTTTAACGAATAATTTTTAACCATATTAAGTTGTTACAAATTAGGACAAAATGGTTCTCTGTGAAATTTAGAGTAATTTTTTTCATGAAGGGAAATTCAATAATTTGATAGAAATGGTTGCGGTTTGATAACCACTTAATACGCTATCAAATATTTCAGAAAATATTTTTTCATAATTTTTCTATTGGAAAAATTTTGGAAAAATTTTCTAAGTATTAACAATATACTTTTTAATTCTGCTTTACTTTAGAAGAATTCTCATGCGAAAACTATACTATGAACTATTTTATCAAACCAAAATCCACGTGTATATCAAACACATTGTAGTTGACTATAAAATGAAAATACTAGTTGATTTTTTCACATTACTGAAAACGCTTCATGGTAAGCAAAGGAAGTATGACTATAATTGTTTGAAAGCTAAAGTCGGATCGGAAATATCACTAGATATAGCTAAACATGCTATATCTAGTAACATTAATAACAATAATTGCAGTTATATCGGTGAATTACTACCCAAATACATACTTTATTGTAACATTTATTTCTTTACAGTAGTAGTTCAATACTTACACAATAAATTTTTCGAAGAAAAAATAAACCAAAAACATGAAATTGGAAATGGAGAAAGTGCACTTTTTTTTATTTTCCTTCAAATAAAATATATACATGTATATGTATATATACACGTAATACACGGGGACAAGAACAACCAACTTATGTATGGTGCAAGCATTTCATATAGATATACTTGCATAATATAATCTATGACATGCTTGCTTTCTATAAGCACATTCGCACATATACATACCTTTGAATATAAAGTATGTACCTATAAGAGATATATAGTTAAATAATGGTATTAAAATTTCATTCAATATAATATGTATATATACATAATACTTACATAAGTAAAATTTTCATTATATAAGAGCTAGGCTATAGGAGACAATTGCATACATTGAAATCGTTAAGGATCTTTATGTCAATATATAGGATGTTGTTTTCTATTGCGGTAGAATTTTGATTTTTTTTACTGTTTTTTATTTTATAAATTATTTGTGACAAAATTGGCTTATATCCAGGAAAAGTATGACATTGGTTTTAATATTTTAATGACAATTTTACTTCTTATATATTATTTCATCACACTTATATATAATTTATATGCATGTGCTCTCTAACATCTTTGTGTATTTCGTAACGTGCTCAAATGTACTTGCATATTTTAGTTCTAAAATTATATACATATGTATAATAAAATAAATAGTATATAAAAGGAAAATATGCATTCTGAATTTTCATATTTTAAAGTTATTCTAATATAGAGAAGTGTAGCGATATCTAGCTGTGATGGTAAAAATTTATAATTTAGGAAAAATTGAAACTTTTCTGATTAAACTCCTCTAGTCATTAGTTAACTGAAAATCTGAATATGATGGTACAGTGGTTCTAGTACCGGTCCTTTAACAGAAAGGTCTCGTGTTTAAACCTCTATAATAAAATTGATATAAAAATAAAATTCGATGCTGTAGCAACAAAAATAAACAATAAATATTAATAATGTTAAGTATATACATATTAATACATATAAAGAAAGAAGCAGTGGAAGGCAAGCTTCCTATCTAATAAAGCCCAGTGACTTTATGGAACTGGGGTATAACTACAATGATATCATGCAATAGCCCTTTTTATATCCCTCCTAGAAAAGTAAGGTGAAGAACAATGTCCCACCGTCTCTCCTATGTAATAAGCAAATTGTCATGTCAGTTTTAGTCACATAATATTGTAATGCATTCAAAATCAACGCGATTAATTGCAAATTTCTTTGATTAAGCTATTCATTCTCTCTTGCCATATAATTATTAATATGAAGATTTTTTATTTGTAGCTCACTATTCTGAAAATTGAATCAATTTAAAACACTGTACAAGCGATATATTAAAAAAAAAAGAAAAGACAAAGCTTGATTGAGGTTAATAACGCCTTAAACACAGAAGGGTTAACATAAAAATATTAAATAAAAGCATGCACAAATAATGCCATTGATCTTAAATTTTCCTGTCGAATTGTAAAAAATAAAAATGTAATTTTTTTTTAATTCACTTTATTTGTAGCATTAAACCTGAAATATCATCATTGTGACACAAATTTCTTTCAATATTTGGTCACAAGTTTTAGTCTTGAACCAATATATTGCCAAATTTTCTAATTTTCAATTAAATTGGGTGAGAAAGTACAAATTAAGTCTGTAAATTTTTTGAAAATGAAATTGTAAACAAGTTTAAGACCAAAGAATTAATAGCTTGTGTTCTGAATGCCGGAGAAGAATTTTGACTCATAAATTTAAAACCATTAATATCAAAAATTAAATTTATAAATATCATGAAATGTATTTTTATTTAAATTAAATTTACTCAATTTATGTAAATTTTGTTAACAAAATCCAATACGACAAATTATTTAAAAAAAGTTAACACAATGTTTAATGATTTACATAATGCCAGTGTACATACGACACAATATCATCCACACTTTAATTTCCACGATATGTTGCAACAACATTTTCAGCTAATTGTGCAATTGTAATTCCTTGTACTGCAGCATTTCGTATTCTTTGAAATAATGCTTCCTAAATATAAAAAGAGAATTTCTTCTTTAAAATTACAATGGTGTAAGTACTTACTAATGGCTTAAACGTATCTTCCCACCAACAGGCTTCACTATATTTAAAAGATACCAACAATAATATTATTAAAATTGACATATTTAAATATCCCATTTCAAAAGAAATTAATCTTAACTATAATAATGATGTTTAGAATGAGCTATGTCACTGTAGCTAAGATTAACGCCATTGTTACGTTTTTATAGGTACATGAGAAAATGAGATTCAAATGAATGATAAAGATTAAAATTTTATCTTTAAGATTTAAAAGAAATTTTTACTAAGTCTTTTCTATAATTATTAAGCTTTTCTAACGCCTTATATGAAATTAGCTTAATAATTTAATTGCACTCTTATAAAAAAAAATGCTAAAATTAAATTGCTAATTAGAATTTTATAAGTTTAATTTGTTTATTTTTAAATTTCATGTTTTCACATAACTTTTATAGGGCTTGAAACGGTATAATTATATTATACAGCACATAATATACATATGTACATATTTGCAATTTGTTCCACATGTGATCCATTAATTTAGTTTCTTCTGAAAAATTAGATTAACTATAGATGCTTATATTTACTCGCTGTTTAAGCCTAATCTACGATTATAAAGTCTCATTTTTTTAAAAATATTTTTGTTGTTGTTCCTACATTTTTTGTTCACATTTTACGACAACTTTATAGAGAGATTTTATTTCTAATATGAACGAGCATACACATACATACATACAAATTTATTATTTACTGTTTTTGAATATTTTCAATTCAGATGAATTTCTATTTATTCTGCTTATCTATTAAGTCAAGCTAATTTTAGCTTGGCTTATTTATAATCCGAGAAAAAATTAAATGAAAGCAGAACAGTCAACAATCAAATTAAAACTTTCGTATAAAAACATTAATATGTTTATACATACATATACGTTATGTACTCATAGTTCACAGCTTTATCAAACTTTTGCTGTAGCTGAAACACAACAAAAAACATGGGAATCACCATTCATACTGATAATTTCAAATAAAATTTTTTTCTTTCTTTGCTGATAAAATTAATTTTGCCGATTGATGAATTTTGGAGGTTTGTATATGTACATGTTTGGTTTACAAACTGATAGCATAAAATCATTTTCTATAATATCTTATTCAGCGGAAAAACTAGAACGCTTATTATATTTTTATACCCCACACATAAGTGAGCGTCTCTACAGTCGTGTGTTTCTGGTTGAACTTAAACTCTATGTTAATTTTAGACAAATTTGTCCCTCCGATTGTCTTATTGAACGCATGATAACTCAAAAACAAAATAAGTAAATATCACAAATTTTTCCTGAAAAGAAAAGAAATTGTCAATTTTATAGGACTGCTGTTGTTACAAGATCGATTTGAGTAGCGGGTTCAAGTTGTTGTCATACAAATCTGCCATACATACATAATCTAACATAGATATCTAAAAAAATGATAAGGTTAACTCGCATATGAATTTGGCAGTTTTATGCCCAATTATAACTCAGATATATCTTATTGAAATTTTAGTGGAATAGCTTGATAGCTCTCTGTTATTGTCATACAACAGCTAATTTAAAATTTTTCGAAAACTATTTTAAATTTGGTAAGATAAAGTCGAATTATAGTTTACATATGCCTAAAAAAATCCATTCGGCTTTTAAGAATAATTTTTGAAAGTTTTCTCTAACTTTTCTCGAAATTGTTTTATAATCGGATTGTGATGGTGTAGGGTGTGTAATTAAGATCAACTGAACCGTTTTTGTTTTTAATTTCAATTGAAACTTTTTTTATTGCAATTTGTTTTAAAGCTTTGTATTGGCATTATAGGCATAGATTATTGATTATACAAAGCTACTTATTTATTGAAATATGTGAGAATATATGAGTGTGTAATAAATAAATTAAATCTAGTTTTGGTTTCTTTTACTTTATTTCAATTCAAATTAACGGGGATAAAAAAATGTAAAATAGTTTTTTTTTTGTTTATAAATATACAATTAATACTCATTTTATCGTAGATATATATATATAATTATGGTAGCTTTTTATATTTATATTAATATGGCAACTTTTAAGTACACATAGAAAAACACTCCATTTATTTAGCCTCTTGCCGTAGCTGCAACATTTGCTGCTTGTTGTGCAATGCCAATTCCTTGAACAGTTGCATCACGTACCCTCTGGCCCAATTTTTCCTAAAAAACCAAAAATTGGTAATTATAGAAAGCTTTTTCACTATTAAACTTTTTAACTATCATTAAAAAACTGGTTGAATACTTACAACTGGTTTGAAGGTTTTCTTTAACCAACCGGCTTGGGATTGTCCAAGAACAGCCATTAAAACAATTAAAGCGAATACAAAAACTTTTGAAAAATTCATTGCGGTTTTGGTTTTAAAGGATTTGTTAAAAAAACTGAAGAAAAATTAATATTTTTAAGAAGTTTCTTAATTGATTGTTAAATTAAAACTGATGCAGATTGAAAAAAATTCAAATCTTTTATACAAAAAAAAATGCAACGTAAAAATATGCAACTAAATTTTCCTATTTCAGAATAAACTTGAAGGGAATCACCTATTTTATAACGCAGTTAAATTATGAAAGAAAACAATTACTCTGTTGTTTTACTTAAGAAGAATGAATAACGGTACTTTTTTTTATAATATTTTAAATAAAAAAAAACATAATTGCAAAATTATTTTCTGTTTACGTTTCGTTAAAAAAAAATCCCTATTTTCGTAATGCAAAAGTGATCTGCATCGAAAACTTAAGCTTATCAAATATGACAAATTTGCGAGCAATTCTGGTGATGATGACGGCTTCGTATTTCTCGTTATACGTAATGTATCGTATTTCATTACGAATGCCAGATAAAATCGAATGAAAATATATGATGTGACAAATTCTTGAATTTGTCAAAAATATGCAGCAATTTATAGCTATAGTTAAATACTTCAAGTTAGTACTGCACTTCTTATACTGTACTGTAATAAAGTGGCTAATAAACCCGTTTGCTATACATAAATACATAATACAAAATGGTAGTGGGTTCGGCAGCTTAATACAGAATTTAACAAGTTGGCCGAATAAATTATGCTAGGTTAGGCGAAGGGGTTACCGTTCTATGCCAAATTTTAAAAACTATGGAATTTACTGGTAGTTGTATTTTATCTTTATTTAAGTATGTGCGTATAAAAACGAAACCTTAATTTTGTATAATCATTCCTTTTTAATGAGACATGTACTGAATTTTGAAAAGGCTTTGTAATTTTATTTAAATAAATCCTGTGATGGTTCTTTAAGTAATATAATTATTTTCAAAAAGCGGACAAATGAATTTTTAGAACATTTTTAAGTTCTCTTATACTAAAATTAGAAGAAGACATATCTGGTCATACACAGCATGTAGTTGATAATTATACGGACGTATTACATTTGATAATTAATATTACTAGGTTTAAGAAATCAATCAAGGGAGAGACCTAGAATGAACAAAATTTTAGCATAATCAAGAGAACGAGCCTCATGAGAAATTTGTTTAAGAATGACATTTCCATTTTTTAAAAATCGCAGTAATGGGCGTCGAGAACATATAATATCAGCAACTTTAACATATATGAAAGTAAATTAGAGCAAGCTATTGTTATTCAAAACTCTTTTTTTTTAAATTAAAAATAAGACAAGGCTACAAGGTATATAACAAGGTAAAGTGATAAACCATATTATATAGGAGTAAAACCCAAAATCGTTTTTCCAAAATCGTAAATATATGCTCGTAACTACTGCTTTTAATTATTCCTTTGCTACGCTAGAGTTGCTGAGAGACATGCCAAAATATTAAACGTTTAGCTTGTTACATTCCCTGAAAGGATCACAGCCAATAATTCAATATCAAACTCTTTTATGCCGAAAAATCACTTGGCCTTATTTTTAAAAAGCTCAGTATAATACTGAAATCCATAATGCCAAATTTGGTCCCGCTAATTTACGAAGTTTATTTTATGTTCCCTGAAGATTAGGCGGTCAATAATTTCTCCACATGAAAAATTACCCAAAATAAAAGTAGTCCTATAGAATTATTCTAATTTTTTCAAATGTTTAGGAATGATTTTAAGTTTAGGAATTCCTAATAAAAAAAAAATCAAATATAACATTCACCTTTTCAAAATAACTTATAAAATATGAAAAATAATAAAAACTGCTACATAAAGCATTTGATTTGATCATCGTATTCTCCAAATCGCTACTTATTTCTTAACGTTATATGATGCCACTACAGTACTCTTGCAAAAAAATAAATGTATTTATGTACGCGACTCACGTAATTAAAATAAAATCTATACGACTATGAAAATTATAATGGGGAGGCACGCTGCTAGTATACAAAATTTGCAAAATATTATTTAATTAATGAATTTTCTGATAAGAAAAGAAAAAACAAAAACTGCGATAAGGTGAATCCCATATACTTACACATACATTATCAGTTGTAAAGACGATCTTTCAATATTAGAAATAACTAAACTACGTATAAACTACTATAATTATATAGTTGTACAAATAAATTATGTATGTACGTTGATATGTATCGAGAGTGATATAGTATTGAAAATGAGTAAAATTTTTGTTTTGAACACTAAATTTTTACCACATTTTTATAAATATTCAAAGCTTTTTAAGCTTAAGTTACAGCATCATTTAAAGCATCATAAATTAAAGCATTATTGTATAGGGTGATTGAGTCAAAGGTGCTTTGTCGGTACTGGTTATCAACCTGTATCTTTGTCGGTACTGGTTATCAACCTGTATCTTTGTCCTAATCAAAGGACCATCTTTGTCCTTTTTTTAGCAGAAATAGTGTGAAATGAGTTTAAAGGCAGTTGAAATATTTGAAAGCCGTTTTTAAAACGGTCTGCGAATTTAATGTTGCTGTGTTTCTTGAATACCAATATAAATATCTTTTGAACATACCAACATTATTCCAAAATTGTAATTTAGGCACTTATACCTGTAGATTTATTTAAGGACAAGGTACCTAATGTCTTCCATTAAAACAAAAAAAAAAATAATTTGTTTTTTAAAATTTTTAACTTATTTATTAATTTTTCATGTTTTATATTATGAGTTTGCTTATATGTATATGTATATTATATAATTAATTTACAATTATTAATTCTAAAAATAAATAATTTAAAATTTTATTTTCTAATTTGTTCTTAACCACGTGCAGTTGCTGCAACATTGGCGGCTGCTTGTGCAATACCAATTGTTTGTATTGTGGCGTCACGTACTCTCTGTCCTAATTTTTCCTAAAAATAAAAATAAAAGTATTACACATTGTACTTATATTTCATAATATTATACATAATTATTTAATTTTATAACATTATACAAAAAAACATAAGTACTTACAACTGGTTTGAAAGTTTTCTTCCACCATCCAGCTTGTGATTGTCCAAAAACGGCCATAAGAACAACTAATGCGAATATAAAAATTTTTGAAAAATTCATTTTGAATTTTATTTATTAAATTTTAATTTTCGATTAATTTGAATAGTTAACGTTTCAGCTAAGTTGCTAATTTGAGATTGATAGTTATTCAATTGCGAATTCTGCTTATATATAGAGGGAAATCTTATTTTATGAAAACGGGGAACTTACATACTTCCTGCGGTTTCCTTTCCTAATTCAAAATATAAAGTATATTTTTTTTTGTTCTTTGTTTTTTATCTTTAAGGCAATACATTTATGCACATAATGTTGTGAATCACCTTTAGACTTTGACAAAATAGAAAAGTAATATTCCAATTATTCTTCTTAAACCAAAATTCGTTTAGGATTTTACATTCTATATTTAAGATTTAAATTGTAAAAGGGGATTCCATTTCCATATTCCGTAAAATTTAAATTTTATTACTCATTTAGATTAAAAATTTTTAAAAGAAAAAATTATGAAAAAGAAAAACTTTATTGTCGTATTAATATTTACATACTTAACCACATATTATTCGTATACTCTGCGTGCACATATATTTATACTACAGCTATTTATACAAAACCAAATATATAATAAAGATACTCGTAGATACGGTTCGAAATTGTTCAATGAAATAAAAAGAGCGATAACCTATAAGAAATAAACTGATCGTGAATGAAAAGCTTAATAAAAACAACAATAAATCGCTAAGAATGTAGGTATGTGTGACTGGTAGAATAGCAAAAACAAAAACAAGAACAGATTCGAAAACAAACAACTACTTTGATTTTACTATGAATAACTTAAACAAGTAGAAAAGAAAAGTTGTTTCACAGATATTCTAAGAACTTATGCAACTGTTATTAAAACTGATCAGAATCACTTGAATACTTCGTATTAAATTTGAATAATGCAGACTTTGTAATGATCAAATGTTGTTGACCAAAAATTGATCAAATTGTTGTTGAAGTTGTTGCAAGTTGTGGAATGGTCGGGTATGTTCAAACTTTGAAATTAATTTTTTTGGTAATGCGTTTTCCTATGGCGAATTCCCCCATCCATTTTTTTAAATTTATTTGAACGTTAAAAGTACTGTTGTTAAAAACAGTCTATTGCGAGATTTAAGTTTTATTTAAATATTTCAAAATATTTCAAATGATTGCATATATTTAGGGTCAGACGAAAAGAAATTGAAAGAGGTTTGAGAAGAGAAATTGAACTACGTGAAGGATAAATAATTATACTTTTTGATGGCATGGCATTTGCCGTTAGCTTTCTGTATTTATTAAAATTTCGACAAGCGTGTAGTGCTGTGCCAAAAATTCAAATTTTATGATTTTCCAGCGGCCAACTCTTTTAAAAGTTGTAGTGGTTGTAGTTTCGTTAAAGTGGTACTTTTAGCAGTTTGAGGTTCTAAAACCTTTAGAGAGGTGGAGATAGCTAAAAATTCACTTTTTTTGGAAAGGTGCTAAAAATACATTTGTATGTAAGTATATATCAAATTCCCGAGTATAAAGCATTAAACATTGAATAAATCGGAAAATAATTTACTTGGCGGCCTGATAGATATGTATATATGGCATTTAGTAGAGACTATATGAGTCCTTTTTTCAACTGTTTTATTACTCATGTGCAAATTATTCGTACTTGATTCATTTGCATTTTAACTTTACCTTTTTGCGTTTTTGGAAAAAGGACGCTTCATTTTTTCTTATCATGCAAAAATTTTGCAATGCCATAGTTATTAATTTAGCAAGATCAATCAAAACTTTTTTTTCTTTTTTGTTTTGCGTATATCATTTTTTATACACGTTTGTACCTATGTTTTAATTATTATATGTACGAGTATATGCCTCGATGCCAACGAAAATGATTCATTAGCAAAATAGATGGTAAATTGAAAAATTTTTTTTAATTGATTATTCAACAAAATATTTTTATGACAACGTTTATAAGATTAGCAAAAAATAAATATCGAATCATTAGAATAAAAATTGAAGTATTTATTGTTGGTTTAAGGAGTAAGTGTTAAATGTGTGCATATGGTATTTATGTATATGAGTTAAAAAGTGCATTAAGATTGGAAACTAAAATTATTAAATTTTTATTTTCTGATCACCCAGCTTTGGACAAATTTTTATATTGTGATTTGATCTCATAATTGTGTTCACAATTAAATAAGTCCTTGTACCTTTAGAAGTGTCACAAATAATAAAATATAACAAAACAATTTTTCTTAATTACAAAAATTTATTTTAAATTAAATAAATAACAAATAACATTTAAATACGAGTATCTTGAATAGTCTAATGGGTTTTTTTTTATTTAATTTGTTCATCTTTATCCTCGTGCAGTTGCTGCAACATTAGCCGCTGCTTGTGCAATTCCAATTGTTTGAATAGTTGCGTCACGTACTCTTTGGCCCAATTTTTCCTAAAATTAAAAATTAAATACAAAATTAGACCATAATTTGGCTTAAATATCTAAAGCTTTATTATTAACAAAATAATTTTAGTGTCCATTTTTGCGATTATAGATTTTATTAATTTTGGAACAATATTTTCCTATAAATACTTACAACAGGTTTAAAAGTTTTCTTCCACCATCCAGCTTGTGATTGACCGAAAACAGCCATTAAAACAACTAAGGTAAATACAAATACTTTTGAGAAGTTCATTTTAAAAAAAATTTTTTAGTAAAATAATTAAAACTGTTATAAAAATTGTTTGTTGTAAGTTTTCTACTCGATGAACAAGTTAAGAATGTTTTTATGTAGACTTGAGATACGTTTTTATAGAAATTCATTCTTCAAATCATATTGTACATTTTATTTTCATTTTAAAATGAGATACGAAAATATATGGGAATCACCTTTAATTACAGTGATATTTATTCGCGGTTATAAATTTTTAATTAGAAAACTTTGTACTGATAATAAAATGATTTCTCTGAGGAAAAAAGCTTTTATGAAATAATCTTTATATTGCAGTTTTTTTCTTAGAACTATGAAAAGTGACTTGACTGATCTAAGAAGTATGAAAGTAAAGGGATTTGGTTCCAAAAAAACCCAGAGAATTTTATTTTAGCGCATTAGTGAAGAACCTTATTGAAAGAGGAAAAATAAATAGAAAACATTGATAATTAGAAATTAAAATCAATAGAATCAATGAAGTAGTTATAAAAGCTTTTAATAGTTTCAAAAAGTTATTTACGCTATTAACTCTGAAAATAAATCAATTATCGTATATCCGCAATTTATTATTTGCCTGAATATACATGTCTGTATATATATATATATATATATATATACGCAGACTTAATACTGCATGTACAACTTACTTCCGAGGAGACAATAAAGCCTCCAACCAAATCTCTACCTTTCGCATCACAACAATATTAGGTTCTTGTCTTTTGTTTCCAACAATTATCACGTACATTTTTTACCGACCGTATTGTGTAAACAATAGGTAGGTTATGTGATGGCAACAAATTTTGCATATCGAGTTTTCGGTGGGAACGTACTTCTCCATAGTAGGGAAGTGTAAATAAACTATTTTTAGCAACCTGTCGGTCTGTCGGTCTGTCGCTCTGTCGGTCTGTCGGTCTGTGTGTACGCGTGTATCTCAAGTTCTGCTGAACCGATTTTGATGAAATTTTATATGTAAATTTATTTCCACCATAGCACGGATTGATCAACTTTTTGGATATATCAGGCCTCGGGAACTGCACTTTTTTGCGGGCCTGTTTTACATTTTTGAACATTTTGAAGAAAGTATTCAATCGATTTACTTGAAATTCCATATATAAGCTTTTCTCGACCGTCCGAAAGAATTCCTAACTTTTGGAAGAAATCAGGCATCAGCAACTGGACGTTTACTACGGGCCAAATATATATTTTTGCGTATATAAAGGGATATAATTGAGCGATTTCATTGAAATTTAATATATGAATTCCTCGTATTAAAACAATGAACATATAAATTTTTTGGAAAGATCAGGGCTCGAAAACTGATTTGCAGGCCGATTTTACATTTTTCACCATATCTACGGAACGAATTGATGGAATTTCTTGAAATTTGATATTTGAGTTTTGGTTGTTATCGAAACTAACTGACGAGCATTTCAGGGAATTCGGGTAGCACAAAGCGAATTTCTACTAAGGGCCAAATTTACATTTTTCTAGGTATGTTAACTATAAGCTTACTAATGTCCTAAAAATTGGAAAGAAGAATTTAACAGACATTTTCATAATATTCTGTAACACTTAACTATTTTTTCACTTAACTAGACAATATACAATGCGGTCGGTTATGTGCTGACTACATCAGATTTTTTTATTTATAAATACAAATAAAACTTTTAAGATTGTTTTTTCAAAGCTTTTCCATGCTTTTTAGCATCTTTGCAAAATTTTTTTAAAAATAAATGCTTATTAGTTTCACTCTGTCCATCCGTCCGTGAAATCTTCCCCCTCTGAAAGTTATAGCCCCTCAAAGTCCCAAAAATACGTTTTTGTTTCTCCTATCGTGGCATACTATAGAAAAAAACAAAACGGCTATTCAAATTTACCGTTATCTAAAATCCGTTTTTTCCAAATATTTGATGTCGTTTCTCTTCTAGATCCCAGCTTGTAAGAGCCTGAAAATTTGGCAGCTTTTAGATACTAATAAATAGTTTATTTCGTTAGAAGAAAAGTTTTTTCCATCTCCACCCACTCTCAACTTATCGCCTCTTGAAGTTTGTAAAATTTGAATTTTTGACGCTTGCCGAAGCCGCAAGTTTTTTCAAATTTCTATTAACGGGAAAAACTAACGGTCAATTTCATGACATTGAAAAACATAATTATTTTTCTTAACTCACACAATTAACCCTTAAAATCGAGCATTATATTAAGCCCTCTCTAAATTAATTTTTGCTTATATCAGAGACTGCATAAATCGTTCATCCTGAATATATGCAATCCTAGAAATAGTTTCGTATATGAATGAAAAAAATTTTGATAGTGATAGGTAGGTATAAATAAATTGTATTTAAAAGCAGTATTTTCATTTGCTGAAAGGAAAAGTGCTACAATAACAAGACAAATCATTGGTTTGACCCAACTTTATTTAACTTAATTTCAGTTATATATTGAAATATTTGAAAAATTGCATACATTTCGGATAGGGTGAAAATAAAATCGAAGGAGTCGTTAGCATAATACTCACATTTAAGCGTTAATTTCGTGAGTAAAGAAAAATAATTATATTTTTTAATGGCATGGAATTTACCTTTAGTTTTCTGCGTTTACAGAAATATGGAAAAACTTGCAGTCTCGGAAATATATGCCGTTGAAAATTTAATTTTCCAAGTTCGAGAGGTGATACCTTGAGAATGGATGGAGGTGGTACAAAATTTTCTTCTAACGAAATAAACTATTTACCGATACCTAAAAGCTCCTAAAATTTTATACTCCTACAACACACAATGTAGAAGGAAAAAGATTGATTTAGATAATGGTTAATTTTGGCCGCTATTTTGCTTTTTTAATATTTAATTATGCTGTACCACGGTAGAAAAAGCCTGCAACGAGGAGATAGGATAAAATTTTCTTCTACGGAAATAAGTTTCTTCTAATGATCTATGTACACATTAAATTTCAGCTCTCTATCTTTATGGATGTAGAAGGTTTGTAAACGAGTTCACGGACGGACGGACAAAGTGAAACGAACAAACACTTTTTTTCAAAATTGTTTTGGATTACAAAATAAACTATTTGATTTGAACATCGTCTTCTCTAAAACTCTACGTATTAATTAAACATTTGCTTAACGTTATATGATGTCAATTTAATACTCTTGCAAATAAAAAAACGTACGTAGTTCACGTAACTAAAATAAAGTCTATATCACTATGAAAATTATAATGGAGAGACACGCTGCAATACAAAATTTGCGAAATATTATTTAATTTATGAACTTACTGATAAGAAATTAAAAAACAAAAACTGTGATAAGGTGAATCCCATATGAATAAATTAATAATAAATTTAAACACGATCTTCACGTTTTCAATATTAGAACTAATTATGTGTAAACTATTATAATTATGTAGTTGCATACATATAGCTAATATATGTACGTTGATATGTTCTGAGAGTGATATAGTATTATTTTATCATATACCATGGCGTTGGACATCGAAAATAAGTAAAATTTTTGTTTAAAGCACTAAATTTTTACTACATTTTAAAGCATCATTTAAAGCATCATTGTACAGGGTGATCGAGACAAAGGTGCTTTGTTGGCACTGATTATCAACCTGTACCTTTGTCTCAATCACTCTGTACCATTATGCTTTAAATGATGCTGTAACTTTAAACTTAGTAACTTAGCTTATAGCCCATATTTAAATTTATGACATATTTGACACACGCATTTTTTTTAGCAGAAATAGTGTACAATGAGTTTAAAAGCAGTTGAAATATTTGAAAACAGTTTTTTAAACACCCTGCAAATTTAATGTTGCTGTGTTTCTTGAATGCTAATATAAATATCTTTCGAACATGCCAACATTATTCCAAAATTGTTTTTTAAACATAGTTTTTCATTTATAGGCACTTGAACCTGTAGATTTATTTAAGGACAAATTACTTAATATCTTCCATCAAAACAAAAAAAAAATAATTAATTTTTTTAAATTTTTGATTTATTTATTAATTTTTCATCTTTTATATTATGAGGTTTGCTTATATGTATATGTATATGATATAATTAATTTACAATTATTAATTCTAAAAATAAATAATTTAAAATTTTATTTTCTAATTTGTTCTTAACCACGTGCAGTTGCTGCAACATTGGCGGCTGCTTGTGCAATACCAATTGTTTGTATTGTGGCGTCACGTACTCTCTGTCCTAATTTTTCCTAAAAATAAAAATAAAAGTATTACACATTGTACTTATATTTCATAATATTATACATAATTATTTAGTTTTATAACATTATACAAAAAAACATAAGTACTTACAACTGGTTTGAAAGTTTTCTTCCACCATCCAGCTTGTGATTGTCCAAAAACGGCCATAAGAACAACTAATGCGAATATAAAGACTTTTGAAAAATTCATTTTGAATTTATTTATTAAATTTTATTTTGTGAATATTTGAATAATTAACTGTTCAGTTAAGTTGCTAATTTGAGATTGATAGTTATTCAATTGCGAATTCTGCTTATATATAGACCGAAATCTTATTTTATGAAAACGGGGAACTTACATACTTCCTGCGGTTTCCTTTCCTAATTCAAAATATAAAGTATATTTTTTTTTGTTCTTTGTTTTTTATTTTTAAGGCAATACATTTATGCACATAATGTTGGGAATCACCTTTGGGCTCTGACAAAATAAGAAAGTAATATTCCAATTATTCTTCTTAAACCAAAATTCGTTTAGGATTTTACATTCTATATTTAAGATTTAAATTGTAAAAGGGGATTCCATTTCCATATTCCGAAAAATTTAAATTTTATTACTCATTTAGATTAAAAAATTTCATATTAATATTTACATACTTCACCACATATTATTTGTGTACTGTGTGCGCACATATATGTATACTACAGCTATTTATACAAAACCAAATATATAATACAGATACTCGTAGATACAGTTCGAAATTGTTCAATGAAATAAAGAGAGCGATAACCTATAAGAAATAAACTGATCGTGAATGAAAAGCTTAATAAAAGCAATAATAAATCGTTAAGAATTTAGGTATGTGTGACCGGAACGATAGCAAAAAACAAAAAGTGAAACAAAACAAACAACTACTTCGATTTTACTATAGATAGATTGAAAAAAAAAAGTAGAAATGATAGAGTTGACCATTACACTTTGTATGGCAGCTACTGCAAAAAAATATACTACTATAGTCAATTTCGTTCATAATAGCCAGAATTGAAATTTGATATTATTCAGAATTGTTTACGTCAAATTTGAATAATGCAGACTTCGTAGCTTCGAAAATATGATCAAATTATTCTGTAAATCGTTGGAAGACGATTCTTTTAAATTTTGCACAACGTTAAGAACAATGCTGTTAAAAGCTATCTATTACATTTTTTAAATTACTTACATTTAGATACCACAAAGTTTTAAATGATTGCATATATTTAGGTTAACAAAAGAAAGAAAATTGAAACAGGCTTTAGCATAATGAACGAATTCAAGGATTAACTGCATGAGTTAAGATAAATATTTATACTTTTTGATAGCATGACATTTACTGTTATTAAGTTTGCAATTTCGGAAATATAAGTTTCCGAAAATTAAAATTTTATTTTTATCCGTGGTTGGAAAATTTAGCAACTACTTTTTTGCATTTGCAGAATATGAAAAATGTTTGTGGTTTCGTTACAAGAAATAGTTACAACTTAACGTTTTTAGAATTTTGAGGGTCTATTACTTTAAGAGAGGTGGAAATAGGCAAATATTTTCCTCAACGCGGAGAGGTTTCTTGTAAAAACTCATTTATATATTAAATTTCAGTTTTCTATCTTAAAGGAGTACAACTTTTGTTAATTGACAGACGGAGTGAAATTAATAAGCTCTTTGGGAAGGTGCTAAAATTACATTTCTCGCAACTTGAACTGTCGCTTGAGCAGGTCAAAATGTATGGAAACAAAAAGTGAATTAGACAAACTATTTTATAGTATAATTCCCCTGTTTTTGTTTTTGAAGAGACAAAGTTTAAAAAACATCAAAATATAATAACGAAACCAAAAAAATTCAATTTTCTAACAAAAATAAATAAAATAAAATCTGATTAAGTTGATATGTATATAACTTTAACTCGTATTTTTAACCACTGACTACTGCTTTTAACTAGAAAGAATTTATTATTGAAGTATATGTGCTTTAAACTTGCCGTATACCTAAATTCGGTATAGATTTTTATTCAAAAATAAGTAACTTAGTGTCAGGAACAATATCGCAAGCCGAATAAAAGCGGTCCATTTGTATCATGTCGTAACTCGGAATTTCTTATTAGAAGATGTATCTCGAGGGCATAGTGTATATTAAATTTATAACAATTATACTAACACTAAAAATTGTTTTTGTAAATTTTTTTATTTCGGAATACTTCGGAAAATAATTTGTTTGGTGACCTGATAGATATGTATATGGCACTTAGTAGAGGCTGTTTGAATCCTTATGTCGACTGTTTCAAAACTCATGTGCAAATTATTCGTACTTGTTTCAGTTGTATTTCAGCTCTACCTTTGTGCGTTTCTTCTTATCATGCAAAAATCTTGGAATATTCAGTAAATTTGTTATATCTGAAAGCAGAAATTTCGTATACAAGTACTTTTAAGACAGGCAAAATATTTTTCACTAAAAATTACTTTTTTCCCAATCGGCGATAACGAAAAATGAACAAGACCTTTAATTATTGGTTTAAGCTAGTCTCACATAGTTTTTTGAGCTTTAAAATGGAAACATTCATTAGAAATTCGATTGTTTTAAAATACTTACACTGTCATCGTTATTAATTTGGCAAGATCAATCAAAACTGTTTTTTTCTCATTTGCTTTGCTTTTAACATAATACACGTTCATACATACATATGTAAATATATATATACCTTGAATCCAACATTAGTTTTTAATTGATTATTCAACAAAATGATTTTATGACAAAATTTATAAGATTAGCAAAAAATAAATATCGAATCATTAGAATAAAAATTGAAGTATTCATTATTGGTTTAAGGAGTAAGTGTTAAAAGTGTGCATATGGTATTTATGTATATGAGTTAAAAAGTGCATTAAGATTGGAAACTAAAATTATTAAATTTTTATTTTCTGATCACCCAGCTTTGGACAAATTTTTATATTGTGATTTGATCTCATAATTGTGTTCACAATTAAATAAGTCCTTGTACCTTTAGAAGTGTCACAAATAATAAAATATAACAAAACAATTTTTCTTAATTACAAAAATTTATTTTAAATTAAATAAATAACAAATAACATTTAAATACGAGTATCTTGAATAGTCTAATGGGTTTTTTTTTATTTAATTTGTTCATCTTTATCCTCGTGCAGTTGCTGCAACATTAGCCGCTGCTTGTGCAATTCCAATTGTTTGAATAGTTGCGTCACGTACTCTTTGGCCCAATTTTTCCTAAAATTAAAAATTAAATACAAAATTAGACCATAATTTGGCTTAAATATCTAAAGCTTTATTATTAACAAAATAATTTTAGTGTCCATTTTTGCGATTATAGATTTTATTAATTTTGGAACAATATTTTCCTATAAATACTTACAACAGGTTTAAAAGTTTTCTTCCACCATCCAGCTTGTGATTGACCGAAAACAGCCATTAAAACAACTAAGGTAAATACAAATACTTTTGAGAAGTTCATTTTAAAAAAAATTTTTTAGTAAAATAATTAAAACTGTTATAAAAATTGTTTGTTGTAAGTTTTCTACTCGATGAACAAGTTAAGAATGTTTTTATGTAGACTTGAGATACGTTTTTATAGAAATTCATTCTTCAAATCATATTGTACATTTTATTTTCATTTTAAAATGAGATACGAAAATATATGGGAATCACCTTTAATTACAGTGATATTTATTCGCGGTTATAAATTTTTAATTAGAAAACTTTGTACTGATAATAAAATGATTTCTCTGAGGAAAAAAGCTTTTATGAAATAATCTTTATATTGCAGTTTTTTTCTTAGAACTATGAAAAGTGACTTGACTGATCTAAGAAGTATGAAAGTAAAGGGATTTGGTTCCAAAAAAACCCAGAGAATTTTATTTTAGCGCATTAGTGAAGAACCTTATTGAAAGAGGAAAAATAAATAGAAAACATTGATAATTAGAAATTAAAATCAATAGAATCAATGAAGTAGTTATAAAAGCTTTTAATAGTTTCAAAAAGTTATTTACGCTATTAACTCTGAAAATAAATCAATTATCGTATATCCGCAATTTATTATTTGCCTGAATATACATGTCTGTATATATATATATATATATATATATACGCAGACTTAATACTGCATGTACAACTTACTTCCGAGGAGACAATAAAGCCTCCAACCAAATCTCTACCTTTCGCATCACAACAATATTAGGTTCTTGTCTTTTGTTTCCAACAATTATCACGTACATTTTTTACCGACCGTATTGTGTAAACAATAGGTAGGTTATGTGATGGCAACAAATTTTGCATATCGAGTTTTCGGTGGGAACGTACTTCTCCATAGTAGGGAAGTGTAAATAAACTATTTTTAGCAACCTGTCGGTCTGTCGGTCTGTCGCTCTGTCGGTCTGTCGGTCTGTCGGTCTGTGTGTGTACGCGTGTATCTCAAGTTCTGCTGAACCGATTTTGATGAAATTTTATATGTAAATTTATTTCCACCATGGCACGGATTGATCAACTTTTTGGATATATCAGGCCTTGGGAACTACACTTTTTAGTGGGCCTGTTTTACATTTTTGAACATTTTCAAGAAAGTATTCAACCCATTTACTTGAAATTCCATATATAAGCTTTTCTCGACCGTCCGAAAGAATTCCTAACTTTTGGAAGAAATCAGGCATCAGCAACTGGACGTTTACTACGGGCCAAATATATATTTTTGCGTATATAAAGGGATATAATTGGGCGATTTCATTGAAATTTAATATATGATTTCCTCGTATTAAAACAATGAACATATAAATTTTTTGGAAAGATCAGGGCTCGAAAACTGATTTGCGGGCCGATTTTACATTTTTCACCATATCTACGGAACGAATTGATGGAATTTCTTGAAATTTGATATTTGAGTTTTGGTTGTTATCGAAACTAACTGACGAGCATTTCAGGGAATTCGGGTAGCACAAAGCGAATTTCTACTAAGGGCCAAATTTACATTTTTCTAGGTATGTTATCTATAAGCTTACTAATGTCCTAAAAATTGGAAAGAAGAATTTGACAGACATTTTCATAATATTCTGTAACACTTAACTAGACAATATACAATGCGGTCGGTTATGTGCTGACTACATCAGATTTTTTTATTTATAAATACAAATAAAACTTTTAAGATTGTTTTTTCAAAGCTTTTACATGCTTTTTAGCATCTTTGCAAAATTTTTTTAAAAATAAATGCTTATTAGTTTCACTCTGTCCATCCGTCCGTGAAATCTTTCCCCTCTGAAAGTTATAGCCCCTCAAAGTCCCAAAAATACGTTTTTGTTTCTCCTATCGTGGCATACTATAGAAAAAAACAAAACGGCTATTCAAATTTACCGTTATCTAAAATCCGTTTTTTCCAAATATTTGATGTCGTTTCTCTTCTAGATCCCAGCTTGTAAGAGCCTGAAAATTTGGCAGCTTTTAGATACTAATAAATAGTTTATTTCGTTAGAAGAAAAGTTTTTTCCATCTCCACCCACTCTCAACTTATCGCCTCTTGAAGTTTGTAAAATTTGAATTTTTGACGCTTGCCGAAGCCGCAAGTTTTTTCAAATTTCTATTAACGGGAAAAACTAACGGTCAATTTCATGACATTGAAAAACATAATTATTTTTCTTAACTCACACAATTAACCCTTAAAATCGAGCATTATGTTAAGCCCTCTTTAAATTAATTTTTGCTTATATCAGAGACTGCATAAATCGTTCACCTGAATATATGCAATTCTAGCAATAGTTTCGTATTTGAATGAAAAAAATTTTAATAGTGATAGGTAGGTATAAATAAATTGTATTTAAAAGCAGTATTTTCATTTGCTGAAGGGAAAAGTGCTACAATAACAAACCATTGGTTTGACCCAACTTTGTTTAACTTAATTTCACATTATATACTGAAATATTTGAAAACTTGCATACATTTAGGATAGGGTAAAAATAAAATCGAAGGAGTCGTTAGCATAATACTCACATTTAAGCGTTAATTTCGTGAGTAAAGAAAAATAATTATATTTTTTAATGGCATGGAATTTACCTTTAGTTTTCTGCGTTCTCTGTTTTCTCGGAAATATGTATATGCCGTTGAAAATTTTCCATGTTCAGGAGGTGATACCTTGAGAATGGATGGAGGTGGTACAAAATTTTCCTCTAACGAAATAAACTATTTACCGATACCTAAAAGCTCCTAAAATTTTATACTCCTACAACACATAATGTAGAAGGAAAAAGATTGATTTAGATAATGGTTAATTTTGGCCGCTATTTTGCTTTTTTAATATTTAATTATGCTGTACCACGGTAGAAAAAGCCTGCAACTAGTTTTCTGCATTCACAAAATTTGAAAAATGTTAATGGTTTCTTGAAATAAATTGTCAAAAATGGTATTTTTTTGATGGTAGGTCTTTAAAGGGTACACTTTTAGAGAGAGGAGATAGGCAAAAATTTTCTTCTACGGAAATAAGTTTCTTCTAATGATCTATGTACACATGAAATTTCAGCTCTCTATCTTTATGGATGTAGAAGGTTCGTAAACGAGTCCACGGACGGACGAACAAAGTGAAACGAACAAGCACTTTTTTTCAAAATTGTTTTGGATTACAAAATAAACCATTTGATTTGAACATCGTCTTCTCTAAAACTCTACGTATTAATTAAACATTTGCTTAACGTTATATGATGTCAATTTAATACTCTTGCAAATAAATAAACGTACGTAGTTCATGTAACTAAAATAAAATCTATATGACTATGGAAATTATTATGGGGAGGCACGCTGCTATAATTTGTATGAACTTACTGATAAGAAATTAAAAAACAAAAACTGTGATAAGGTGAATCCCATATAAATAAATTAATAATAAATTTAAACACGATCTTCACGTTTTCAATATTAGAACTAATTATGTGTAAACTATTATAATTATGTAGTTGCGTACATATAGCTAATATATGTACGTTGATATGTTCCGAGAGTGATATAGTATTATTTTATACCATGGCTTTGGACATCGAAAATGAGTAAAATTTTTGTTTAAAGCACTAAATTTTTACTACATTTTAAAGCATCATTTAAAGCATCATTGTACAGGGTGATCGAGACAAAGGTGCTTTGTTGGCACTGATTATCAACCTGTACCTTTGTCTCAATCACCCTGTACAATTATGCTTTAAATGATGTTGAACTTTAAACTTAGCAACTTAGCTTATAGCCCATATTAAAATATATGACATATTTGACACACGCATTTTTTTTAGCAGAAATAGTGTACAATGAGTTTAAAAGCAGTTGAAATATTTGAAAACAGTTTTTTAAACACCCTGCAAATTTAATGTTGCTGTGTTTCTTGAATACCAATATAAATATCTTTCGAACATGCCAACATTATTCCAAAATTATTTTTCATTTATAGGCACTTACACCTGTAGATTTATTTAAGGACAAGGTACTTAATATCTTCCATCAAAACAAAAAAAAAATAATTAATTTTTTTAAATTTTTGATTTATTTATTAATTTTTCATCTTTTATATTATGAGGTTTGCTTATATGTATATGTATATGATATAATTAATTTACAATTATTAATTCTAAAAATAAATAATTTAAAATTTTATTTTCTAATTTGTTCTTAACCACGTGCAGTTGCTGCAACATTGGCGGCTGCTTGTGCAATACCAATTGTTTGTATTGTGGCGTCACGTACTCTCTGTCCTAATTTTTCCTAAAAAGAAAAATAAAAGTATTACACATTGTACTTATATTTCATAATATTATACATAATTATTTAGTTTTATAACATTATACAAAAAAACATAAGTACTTACAACTGGTTTGAAAGTTTTCTTCCACCATCCAGCTTGTGATTGTCCAAAAACGGCCATAAGAACAACTAATGCGAATATAAAGACTTTTGAAAAATTCATTTTGAATTTTATTTATTAAATTTTAATTTTCGAATAATTTGAATAGTTAACTTTTCAGTTAAGTTGTTAATTTGAGATTGATAGTTATTCAATTGCGAATTCTGCTTATATATAGACCGAAATCTTATTTTATGAAAACGGGGAACTTACATACTTCCTGCGGTTTCCTTTCCTAATTCAAAATATAAAGTATATTTTTTTTTGTTCTTTGTTTTTTATTTTTAAGGCAATACATTTATGCACATAATGTTGGGAATCACCTTTGGGCTCTGATAAAATAAGAAAGTAATATTCCAATTATTCTTCTTAAACCAAACTTCGTTTAGGATTTTACATTCTATATTTAAGATTTAAATTGTAAAAGGGGATTTTATTTCCATATTCCGAAAAATTTAAATTTTATTACTCATTTAGATTAAAAATTTTTAAAAGAAAAAATTATGAAAAAGAAACATTTTATTGTCATATTAATATTTACATACTTCACCACATATTATTTGTGTAATGTGTGCGCACATATATGTATACTACAGCTATATATACAAAACCAAATATATAATACAGATACTCGTAGATACGGTTCGAAATTGTTCAATGAAATAAAAAGAGCGATAACCTATAAGAAATAAACTGATCGTGAATGAAAAGCTTAATAAAAACAACAATAAATCGTTAAGATTGTAGGTATGTATGACCGGTAGGACAGCAAAAAACAAAAAGTGAAACAAAACAAACAACTACTTCGATTTTACTATAGATAGATTGAAAAAAAAAAGTAGAAATGATAGAGTTGACCATTACACTTTGTATGGTCAACAAAAACATATACTACTATAGTCAATTTCGTTCATAATAGCCAGAATTCAAATTTGATATTATTCAGAATTGTTTACGTCAAATTTGAATAATGCAGACTTCGTAGCTTCGAAAATATGATCAAATTATTCTGTAAATCGTTGGAAGACGATTCTTTTAAATTTTGCACAACGTTAAGAACAATGCTGTTAAAAGCTATCTATTACATTTTTTAAATTACTTACATTTAGATACCACAAAGTTTTAAATGATTGCATATATTTAGGTTAACAAAAGAAAGAAAATTGAAACAATTTAGCATAATGAACGAATTCAAGGATTAACTGCGTGAGTTAAGATAAATATTTATACTTTTTGATAGCATGACATTTACTGTTATTAAGTTTGCAATTTCGGAAATATAAGTTTCCGAAAATTAAAATTTTATTTCTATCCGTGGTTGGAAAATTCAGCAACTACTTTTTTGCATTTGCCGAATATGAAAAATGTTTGTGGTTTCGTTACAAGAAATAGTCAAACAATAACATTTTTAGAATTTTGAGGCTCTATTACTTTAAGAGAGGTGGAAATAGGTTAACATTTTCCTCAACGGAGAGAAGTTTCCTGTAAAAACTCATTTATATATTAAATTTCAGTTTTGTATCTTAAAGGAGTACAACTTTTGTTAATTGACGGACGGAGTGAAATTAATAAGCTCTTTGGAAGGTGCTAAAGTAACATTTATATGTAAGTACACTAAGTCCTCGAGATACTGTATTTTTGGCTCTACAAATTTATGTCGCAACTTGAACTGAAGTGACAAACTATTTTATAGTATAATTCTGACTGACTGACTACTGACTAGTGCTTTTAACTAGAAATAAATTATTATTGAAGTATTTGCTTTAAACTTGCCGTATACCTAAATTCGGTATAGATTTTTATTCAAAAATCAGTAAATTAGTGTCAGGAACAATATCGCAAGCCGAATAAAAGCGGTCCATTTGTATCATGTCGTAACTCGGAATTTCTTATTAGAAGATGTATCTCGAGGGCAAAGTGCATATTAAATTTATAACAATTATACTAACACTAAAAATTGTTTTTGTAAATTTTGTTATTTCGGAAGACTTCGGAAAATAATTTGTTTGGTGGCCCAATAGATATGTATATGGCACTTAGTAGAGGCTGCTTGAATCCTTATGTCGACTGTTTCAAAACTCATGTGCAAATTATTCGTACTTGTTTCAGTTGTATTTCAGCTCTACCTTTTTGCGTTATTTCTTATCATACAAAAATCTTGGAATATTCAGTAAATTTTTTATATCTAAAAGCAGAAATTTCGTATACAAGTACTTTAAAGACAGGCAAAATATTTTTTCACTAAAAATTACTCTTTTCCCAATCGGCGATAATGAAAAATGAACAAGACCTTTAATAATTGGTTTTAATTAGTTTCACATAGTTTTTTAAGCTTTAAAATGGAAACATTTATAAGAAATTCGATAGTTTTAAAATACTTACACTGTCATCGTTATTAATTTGGCAAGATCAATCAAAACTTTTTCTTTCTCATTTGCTTTGCTTTTAACATAATACACGTTCATACATACATATGTAAATATATATATACCTTGAATCCAACATTAGTTTTTAATTGATTATTCAACAAAATGATTTTATGACAACATTTATAAGATTAGCAAAAAATATATCGAATCATTAGAATAAAAATTGAAGTATTCATTATTGGTTTAAGGAGTAAGTGTTAAAAGTGTGCATATGGTATTTATGTATATGAGTTAAAAAGTGCATTAAGATTGGAAACTAAAATTATTAAATTTTTATTTTCTGATCACCCAGCTTTGGACAAATTTTTATATTGTGATTTGATCTCATAATTGTGTTCACAATTAAATAAGTCCTTGTACCTTTAGAAGTGTCACAAATAATAAAATATAACAAAACAATTTTTCTTAATTACAAAAATTTATTTTAAATTAAATAAATAACAAATAACATTTAAATACGAGTATCTTGAATAGTCTAATGGGTTTTTTTTTATTTAATTTGTTCATCTTTATCCTCGTGCAGTTGCTGCAACATTAGCCGCTGCTTGTGCAATTCCAATTGTTTGAATAGTTGCGTCACGTACTCTTTGGCCCAATTTTTCCTAAAATTAAAAATTAAATACAAAATTAGACCATAATTTGGCTTAAATATCTAAAGCTTTATTATTAACAAAATAATTTTAGTGTCCATTTTTGCGATTATAGATTTTATTAATTTTGGAACAATATTTTCCTATAAATACTTACAACAGGTTTAAAAGTTTTCTTCCACCATCCAGCTTGTGATTGACCGAAAACAGCCATTAAAACAACTAAGGTAAATACAAATACTTTTGAGAAGTTCATTTTAAAAAAAATTTTTTAGTAAAATAATTAAAACTGTTATAAAAATTTATTGTAAGTTTTCTACTCGATGAACAAGTTAAGAATGGATTTACGTAGATGTGAGATACGTTTTTATAGAAATTCACTCTTCAAATCATATTGTACATTTTATTTTCATTTTAAAATGAGATACGAAAATATATGGGAATCACCTTTAATTACAGTGATATTTATTCGCGGTTATAAATTTTAATTAGAAAACTTTGTACTGATAATAAAATGATTTCTCTGAGGAAAAAAGCTTTTATGAAATAATCTTTATATTGCAGTTTTTTTCTTAGAACTATGAAAAGTGATTTTATTGATCTAAGAAATATGAAAGTAAAGGTATTTGGTTCCAAAAAAAACCCAGAGAATTTTATTTTAGTGCATTAGTGAAGAACTTTGTTGAATAGTTCGATTAAAAACGTCGGAAATCAATAGCATCAATGAAGTAGTTATTAAAGCTTCGAATAGTATTAAGAACTAGAACATAATTACGATATTAATTCGGATAACAAAACAATTATCGTATATCCGCAATTTAATATTTCCCTGTATATACATATATATAAACGCAGACTCAATATTGCGTTTACAACCTACTTTTACTTTCGATGTGAAAATATGAAAAGCTCTACCGCTTTTCGAAACTTTTTTGTTAATATGTTTCCGGACAATATTTACAAAATTATTTAAAGTCCTTTTTAAATGTTTGTGTGAAGGTACAAATTTAAGGTTAAATAAATTTTCCACTTTGAAACTGGTTTGTCAAATAGAGAGAGGTGACTGACTAAGGACATGGTTTTAAAAATAAGTATTCTTGATCGGTTTGGTTTATATTTTACTTAATTTGAATTCATTAGCAAATTTTTTATAATTTACCCTGTTAAGGCAATAATATCAATAAAATAATTGAAATATTTACAATATGTGTACATTTAAGTACATAATAACCTGCATCCATAGAATTTTTAACAATAAATACATATATATTACTTTATATAGCATCCTAATTAACAATATATGCAGAAGAAAATTGAAATATATTTCTTATCTGCTAAAAACACACAAAGATTAACAACAGTGGAGAACATTAATTGAAAAAAAAAAAAAATAAAAACACACAAAAGGTGATTCCCACTCGTTTTGCGTTATACTTACTGTTAATAAATAGACCCTGAAGATAATTCAATAATCAAAAGTTCTACTTAGAGAAAATAATCCCCTTACACAAAATAATTTTTACTGACCGCATTGCGTATAATAAGAAAGGTTATATGATGGAACTAAATTTCTTGTTCCATCACATAACCTTTCAGAGTCACATAACTTTTCCATAAATAGTGGGAACGCACTTCTCCATGATAGGGAAGCTTAAATAAACTATTTTTATAGAGATGTTTGTCTGCCGATCTACCTTTGTTGTTGACAAGCAGTGATAAATTTTTGGGATATATCAAACCTTAGAATTAAACTTTTTTGCGGAGAGAGATGAAACCAATGAATTTCCTTGAAATTTAATATTTTAATTTATTGTCTTAAAGATTTGAGCTCGCAAACCAAACTAGGGATTGATGAAGTTTTTTAAAATTTAATATTTGAATCCTGGTTTTTATAGAAAATAACTGACAAACTTTTAAGTAAATTTAGGGTGGCGCAAAGCTATACTCTACTAAAAACCAAAATTAACTTATTTCTAAGTATGTTAACTAAAGCTTACTAACTTCCTTAAAATTGGAGAAAAGTGTGTAAAATGGATTTTTATAATCCTCTGTAAAATTTTGGCTAAACTAGACAATTCACATTTTCGATCGGTTATGTGCTGACCACATAAGATTTCTTTTTCTATAAAAGAGTAATATATTTTCAGTTTTGTATCAGTTTTAAACAATCCAACAATAATAAAGGAGGTTCAAATTGCAATCACTAAAACAAAATTAAGAACTTTTCTTTAATGATTTAAAAGTTCTAAATAAAATCTAGAAAGAAAAAATTATGAATTTCTCAAAAATATTTGTATTTGCTTTAATTGTTTTAATGGCAGTTGTTGGACAGTCCCAAGCTGGATGGTGGGAAAAAATATTTAAACCAGTTGTAAGTATTCAACTAGTTCCTTTTAGTTTTTAGAATTGCAATGGTTAAAAAAAAAATCCATAATTATCTAATTTTGTCTTTAGGAAAAATTAGGACAAAGGGTACGTGATGCAACAATCCAAACAATTGGGATTGCACAACAAGCTGCTAATGTTGTAGCTACAGTTGGATAATTGACTGGTTGTTTTTTATTTGAATTAGAATTTTTGAGCATTTATTGTTTTACAGTTTATCATTACATTGTCAATATTTTACATTCTAAACGTGTCAAATGTACCTTGTTATTCATAAAACTTAAGTTTTAAGCAATTTAAGATATGGGAAAATACAAAGAAATAAAAAAAAATGTTTGTAATAAAACGAAATTTAATTGTTTTAATTAATTTTCCTAGCTTTTTGTGTTGTCAAGTATATATTTTGCGTACGAGTATAAGTTTGTTTTACTTTGTGTTCTTGGTAAATTTCTCACATAAGACGAGCGCTGTTAAATATTTCTTACAAACATAGCTATATGTGTGAAATTGAAATACCCAAATTTCAGAAGATCAGAAGCATAAAAAAGTATAAGCGTTTTGAATTTTGAAACAAAATGTAGTTGTAAATATGTAGTTGTTTACGGTATTTTTTTTCTAGAACCTCTATGTACTACATATAATTTTTTAAAAATCCATTGGTAAATTTTAGATATTCAAATAGACACAGAATTAAAAATTTTAAAGCTAATTTGTTTTCAACAACTTTACACCAATAAAACCCGACTCCACGTCAATGAAAAGTGTTTCATTTTGCAACTTAGGAAAACGATAAACGTATTATTGAACGTCATCTCGATCGAAGCAAACGAAGCAAAAGTGGACGCTTTTTATTAACAATAAGACGAATATTTTTTGGTGCTTATACCCGTGTGTAGTAGTAAAATATAATAAGTTTATCGTTCTGTTTGTTATACTTAAAAATAATGTTCTGAGATATAGATTGTGTATATGAAGAATTCACAATGCAACAGGTTCCGAGTTACAAAGGTATAAAATCAATGTCGACTAATCCTTTATACTTTTCGAAATTTCAAGTATAACACCGCATCTGTTTCAGATAGCGCGTTGTTAAATATAATTTGAAGACCTTAGAACAAGGGCTTCTCATAAATATCTCCACTAGTTAGAATCTATTCAGATTTCGGAATCACATGACTTTAAAATTCAAAAAATTTTAAATTTTAGTTTTTTTTTAATTTTAAAAAACCTTAATTTTTTAAATGACATAACATTGTAGTTTTCTTTTATTTTAGCACGGCTGGCAGCCTTAATAACTGAGCTTTAATTTGGTATGTGAGTTATCTTCCTACCTGTTCTGATTTAGGAGTTATTGAATAAAATAAAATACTGAAAATGTTATTCAATACCAAATTTTTTCCTTTAACGCATTAAAGAAATGCACAACAACCTCTCAAAATGGTGTCTTTTTTTTAATTATGCGAATGTTCAACTTAGCAACCCTCACATTTGAAAAAAATTAATAGTGCGGAAAATGTCATATGGCAATGAAAACTCTACAATGTGTGGGGTAATATTTAAGTGACTTGTCGCAAATAATTTTTTTGTGTTTGCGCAGATAGAGAAAAGCTTATGACATAGAAAAATGCTTTCTCTCACTTTGTAAGTTCGGCATGTAAAATATATTGTGGCTACAAGTCTCCTCTTTTTGTTCAGAACACGGCTGGCATTACAAAGACCTTTTCCTAATATTTTAAGTTTCCCAAAATTATCTTAATTCTCAAGCTCTATATAAATGTCAATATGCAATTGAAATTAACTTTGATTTTAAAGAGAGTGGAAACAATAAAAATTAATGTGACTAATTAATTCGACAATAATTGCATTTTAAATAATAATTTAGATTTTTTGTTTAAATTTATTTAATTAAATTTTTACTTTTTTCAACAAAATTAACAAAATGTTAATAACTTTATAAGGGTCTAAAATACTGCTGTCTGTTCCAAAATTCTGACTGATATTCCTATCGTATTAACCTCGAGCTGTAGCTGCTACATTAGCAGCTTGCTGTGCAATCCCAATTGTTTGAATACTTGCATCACGTACCCTTTGCCCCAATTTTTCCTAAAAGACAAAAACGGGTAGTTATAGAAACCTTTTGTACTATTAAAGTTCTCAATTCTTAAAAGAACTTATTGAATACTTACAACTGGTTTAAAGGTTTTCTTCCACCAACTAGCTTGTGATTGTCCAAACATTGCCATTAATACAATCAAAGCAAAAACGAATACTTTAGAAAAGTTCATGGTTTTAAGATTAATTTTTTTTTAGTTTATAAAATGCTTTTATATTTTATTCGAAATTTCCAATGGAAACGTCAATAATAAGTGATGTTTTTTAAGTGATAATAGTATTAAGATTTGCAGACACTTTTATACAAAATTTTTTTGTTTGAACATTCAAAAAGAGAAAATATGTAATCTTTTTTTAAAGGGAATCACTTCAAATTTTCAAGAAGTTGACATAAAATTAAAAATTTTTCTTTAAATTATTTTTGATAAGAAAATTATCTTGAATTTTTGATTTTCTTTTTGTATGTTTAGTTTATTGAGTTTTTATATGATTTTAAGCTTATTTAAATTTTTTATTTGCGTACTGAGATTTGATTTGCTTTTATTTTCTAAGTTTATTTTTAGATTCAATTAATCTCAATTTTGATATCTTTAAATTGTGAAGGCTTTGGAGAAAAATATAAAGTTTAAGGGAAATCAAGGTTTAGGACCTTTAACCTCTAAAGTATAATTAATTCAGCACGCGCATAATTTTTTTGAAGATAATTAATTAAACAATTGAATTCTCCCAACTTCTTAGAAATTGGCCCGTTCCATGCACGAATGAGACGATGCACGAGACTTATAACAAATTCCTAACAAATTTTCAGTTGCTATACAAAGAGACATTCTGCCTATGGTGCGTTTAGTTCGCTTTTTTTTTTTACCTTATAGAATTTAATTTTTATGTCTTTCAAAATTAATCCAAATTCTATATTGATGAAATTCTAAAATTTCTTATATTTAAATTATTTTACTACTGTACAATTTATCAAAAATTAAAATATTCCAACAACATTAAAAAAAAAAACTATAAATAACCAATAAATTATTTTTTCCATTTGTTTGTTAACCACGTTGTAAAGTAGCTACAACATTGGCTGCTTTTTGAGCAACTCCAATTGTTTGTAATGTTGCACCACGTATTCTTTGTCCAAATCTTTGCTAAAATTTAAAATTTTCAATTAAAATCATTTTTCAAAATAGTGGGCATTGATACTTACAATTGGTTTAAGAGTCCTTTGTACCCATCCAGCTTGCGATTCGGATAAAGTGATTGCCAGTATAAAAAACGCAATCGTAAACCACTTTAAAAAATTCATTTTTGTTTGTATTTTTCTTTTAGCGGCAGTTCTACAATTCACTACTGCGCTCCAACAACTAATAGTTAATATTTAAATTTTTTACTTACATATATGTCATCAAATACTTTTTCAATAAACTTATAAAGTTAAAGCTTTCAAAGAGGTTTCGTATCTCTTTTTCATAAAACAACTTCAATTCGTATAAAATTATTATAAATACCTGCACCATAATATTATTTAAATTTTGTACATGTACATACATATGTATATGTTGCAGTAATATTAACAAGAATTCTTATTAACCCATTTTTAACTCTTGCATACTCAATAAATGAAATGGACGATAAATGGACGTACGAACGTATGTTCGAAGGGTATACTAAATTCGCCTTACCGTTTGTAACGCTAAGAAATAACGGTCTTAGATATAGACTCAAGTGTATTTTTTTGATCAACGTCGAACTCTGAGTTGATTTAGCTTTGTCTGTCCGTCCGTCCGTCTGTCCGTACGTCCGTACGTCCCAACGATAACTCAAAAACTAATTGAGCTAAGTTCACCAAATTTTCACAAATGATTTACTGTAGTAAGTGCCAGAACCCTATTTAAATTGGACATGATCGGGGTACCGGTTCGGGTAGCTGCCATACAACTTCAAAATTTATTTGCCTATATCTCAGAAACTATAAAAGCTATGGTATTGAAATTTCTTACAGGCCAATATATTTGTAGGGCCGATGTGCCTAGAGTAAAATTCGTTAAAATTTCTTGGCTCTTTCTGGTAGCTGCCATACGACTTCAATAGTAGTTTGGCACACACAGTATTTTGAAAAATACAGTACTGAAATTTTTTCATAAACTCATATGGTAATACGGCAAGTTAAAGTCATAGTCTGTCCAATAGTCAGCTATGGCATATTTATTCGCTCATGGGATAACAAATTCGTACGGGTATCACAGAGTTAACACGGTCAACTCTATTTTTTCTCGTTTAAGTTAAATTTTGCTGACAATTCTTTGATTTTTCGTTTCAAAACTGTATGAATAAACGGAAGCGCAATAATTTGACCCGATTTCCGCACGAATTTAAAAGGTATATGCACGCACTAAAACTATTATACGGATACCTACAACAACACAGCAATTAATTATGGTTTTCTAAGAGTAATGTTGTTTCTCACATACTCTCTCAAAAATGTTGCTTGCTTGCTGCAAAAATGCAATAACGCAAAATTTGTTCATTTTCACAATTATTAGGTTTAAAATTTTTTGTGTGTGTGTTTCTAATCTTTGATTAGAATACTAATTAAAAAGGATGCTTAGAAGAGATAATACAAAGGGATTTACCATTTTTTATTACATTTTCGATTTCATTCCATATTATTCCTTTCCGTGGATATTCGGAATTCCATATATAATTCGGAGTTATTTAGCTTATGCATGAAAATTAACTTTTACGTTTGCCAGCTTGTTTAAATATTACTTTATTTCTCCTAGCGCCATCGAGATGAAAGCTTTACAAGAAAAATTTTCATCTTGGAGTTTTTAGTATTTTACGGTAATCGAGCGATATTGCACTGTAATACACACATACATACGTGTATGCATACTGCAATTGCAATATTATTCCATTTATAGGCGTGTTATTTACATATTATACTCAATACAAAATCGTTTTTAAATTATAAATTAGAATATTATAGATAATAAAATTTGATTACATACTATTTTAGCTTAATAATGACATAGCAATGTTTATTGAAATGCTCAAGTTTATTGAAATTAATAAACATAACTGACCTATGATAATTACTTATTAAGAGTTTTTTACGCGAATTATGTATATTTGCATTTATATATTGTGTATATGTATGTACCTACATATACATACATACTTTCAATGGCCCACATTACAATACGTGATAATGTTGGAATATTTACAAGTATAAATTCATTTCAATTACGATCAGCGACTTTACGCTAACGTTATTTATAAAAGTTCAATGAATTTATGTTATCGTCGCCTATAATTTTCGCATGTGTTTTAATTTTATGACGTCATTAAAAATTTTATATTCATACTTTTGTTATGAGAGAATAAAAAGTGTTGAAAAAAGTTTATAAACTATATTACATACATACATACATGTACGGAATAAAATGTATATATAGAATTCGTAATTAACGTAATATGTATAGATAGACATAACGTAAATAACGTATAAATTTCTAGATTTTTTTTTCAAACATAGTAACAGAATGCGGTTAGAAGTAAAATAATTGTACATACTACGTAGATACTTACATAAGTACGCATGTAAATATCTACGTAGTATGTGTCTGGAAAATTCGAATGTTTAACATTTATTATTCATGTATGTAATGTATATACAGTATAATTATTGGAATAAAAAAAACAATCAAATGAATCATTGAGAAAAAATGTATAATACACAAATTGTAGCCAGATTTACGACAAAAGGGAATAACGTATATGAGTATCCAATTACATTTTTCATATGCTTTTGTTAGGATGGCTGCACTGGTTCGAGTAGCTGCAAGTGTCAAAACAATGACCTCCTGAGAGTTTTGGCAGTCCAAGTGTCAGGACTGCATCCTACTATAAAGCAGGATGATTCGTTGGAGTTTTTTAGAAAAAAGTCGTATGGTTATGGAGAGGGGGCCACATTTGGCACTGTTGAAGCTGGAGCAAAGTTTGTTGTGTTTGGAAATTCTTTTGTTACTTACATAAATTGTCACATTGGCTGCAAAACGGCCATTGAAGTTATGTATTCCTTCCTCGATTAAATCATTAATCATTTATGTAGCGTAATATATACATTCATGTCTCAATTTTGGTTCAATATTTACGAACAATTTTGCATTCAGTGCTATCCACGCTAGGGGCTTCTTGTTGAGAAAAAATTTGTAAAGTGGTGCTGTAAATTACCAAAATTTTGGAATTGATATTTATTTACTTTTTACAAATTTTATTACTCAGGTGCATGGATAATGTTTAAATAGAAATACACCTATGTATGTAGTGAAATTATTCAATCTGGAATGAATGCATTCCTTTTAAACCTATTAGCAATCAGTTTTATGGTACATACATATGTATGTGTAATAATTTCAGCGGCTGCTGCATACAATTTTAAAAAGTAAAAGTCTTATTAATAGATGTTTCTCCGATGTATGTTAATATTTTTTTTTTCCTTCTTCACTCCTAGGAGGAGCATAGGGCTAGTGCATGATTTCATGCCCTAGTTTCATATAGTCATAGAGTTAGCTAGGTAGGTGACTAGCATATGTTAATGTTAACTTTCAAAAATTATGAAATTTCCTTAATTGATCTATGTAGTAGTTCCCAATATTGTCTATCATGATTATGAATATCGTTTAAAAATACATATATACAGTTAGTTTTTTTAGAATAATTAAAGATGTAGAGCAAAGTATATTCAATAGTTCGAAAAGTGTGGAATATGATATTGGCAAAATAAATTAGCCATGGTTAGCCATGGTTTTTAGTATTTAATTTGTGAAGTTTCACATCACAAGAAGCTGAATGATCTGAGTTATCGAATATTGAACAATTCAAAAAATGTACAGAGATTTACCGAGAGATAAATAATTACAAAGATATTAAAATTATAGTTTTTTTACCATTTACAGTGCTTCGAACACATTTTTGGTCTCCGCTCAAGCAGCCAAATATTCAACTCAAAAAAGGCTCTTTATGTTCGTATAAGTGTATAAAAGAAACACTTTCCTATTATATTAAGGCTTCTACGCGGAATTGCAGTGTACTGTACTTGTTTTGAACCAGTGCTTTACGAAAAAAATGCTAAATTCATTCATTATACAATTTTTTCGCCAGATTCCTGCAATAGCAATAAAATTATGTATATATGTAAATATACATATATGCTTGACTAAATATCTGGTAACTTTCATTATAAAGTTAATTTTAGTTTCTTTGAAATAAAGAGATTTAAAATTAAAGCAATTTGAAATTTTGTGCAACTTTATTATGTGCACGTAACGTACACGTATGTGTTAAAAAACAAACATAACAATCTTTAACAGACCTTTTTATTCATATGTGTTCTACAATATTTATTTACACACATGCTGAAAATATATGAAAAAAAAACCCTTTTAGAATTTTTTTCTCCTTATAATAACATGCATTAAACTTACCAAAAAAAAAAAAAAAACAAAGAAAAATTATAAAGAAATTTTCAACTATTTACTTATGCAAATGTTATGTTTGGGTTGTGCAATCTCCAAAAAAATAAACCTAAATTATTTTTTTAAGATTTTTTTCCATTTTATATACACACACATATGATGCAAATCAGGGTAAAATTACGGGAAAAGAAACACAAGAATAACGTTAAAAAGACAGCAAAACAGGAATTTAACATAATAATTAAATTTAACAAAGGGAAAATTTCTATACTCTACTATTTAATTAATTTTAATCAAAAAATATCCTTGTTGTAGTACAACTTATAAATTATAAGTTTTAACAAGTATTTTAGGTATGTATGCAAGTATGAACATAAAAATAACAGCAAAAATAACATTAATTATACAATGACAGTGTAGTAACAACTGCAGAAATTAAAAAGAAAAAAAAATTGTGAAAGAAATTAAGAACACTGAGAAAAATAGAGCTGATCATGTCTACTCTGTGGGGTCCGTACGAACTTGGTATAATAGTCAGCTATGGCGAGCACATATACAATAGCTGACTCTATTATCGTATTGCCATATTTATTTCAGTAATTTCAATTGTTTCTAAAGTATGACAAAACAACTATTGAAGTTGTATGACAGCTACCACAATGAATCAGGAATTTTTAACAACTTTTATCAAACATTGCAACCGCAATAATATATTTGCATGTGCAAAATTTTGATATTATATTCAATAATTTTTAAGATATATAGCCAATTGAAGTCGCAAAGCAGCTACCGTAAAGCAACTAGAGGTAAGGCATTTACTACTATAAAGCATTTGTGAAAATTTCGTAATTTTAGCTTAATTAATAGAGTTATCGCTAGGACTGACGGAACTGGCAAACGGACA